TCCGTGTACAGTGCAAGAAAACTGTGAACTGTATGAAAATCATGTGTAATTTACAAATATAGTGCACAAAGTAAGAATATAGGGTTCGTAATAAAAACTTAATGTACAGATTAAGTTATAGAACACAGCGTATAGTGTAGGAATAGAGAGGAAGAATGTCTGGCATAGAGTGAGAATATACAGTGATAGAAAGTGTTTTCTATAAATACAGTGAAATGAATATTGTGATAAAATAAAATACTAGAATGAAGAGTAAGAATACAGTGTACAGTGTAAGAACAATAAGAACATAAAGAGAAAAGAAATAATGTAGCCTATTGTGTATAGTGTTTAATGTATAGAATACAGTGTATAGAGAATAAAATATAGTGTATATAATACAGTGAATATAAATCAGTATCTGAGTAAAGAATACATTGTATAAAATATAGTGTATAGAATGAGGCAATAAGCCACTCGAGGCTGTGTGTTACTGCAGTTTTATCACGGGGAAGGGTGTTGTTAGGCACGATATTGCTTTTATAAAATGGCGGCCAACATAAAATATGACAAAACACACAATTCTTCAGAAAATAATTTATCATTATTAATAATCAGCATAAGTAAGTATTCCAGCAAGAAATGTAGCTCCTTCAGAGTACGCTATCGCTGGAAAGCAAAGGAGAACATTCAGTCGCCCATCACTGTTCACTGCCATTTCATGAACTCTTTAACTTGTTGTATAAGAATGAACGTATGATAACAGCACTGTTTAAAGCAGAAGGCTTCGCTTTAGAAGTACTTTTTGGTCACTAAATTAGCACCGCGAGTCTTATTTAGCATCAAGCTAACAGCGCCCTCTTCTCACACTGGGGCTGAATCTCAAACGGCTCCCTGCTCCCTACATAGTGCCCTACGTAGGAGTTTAAACACTGGATCCTGCAGCCCAACAGAGTGAAATACAGCTGAGAAACAGTCATTTGGCCTCAGACTCAGCCACACTCCACACACCGTCACTGTTTGGCTGTAGAAGTTAGAATCTCTGAACTGCCTCACTGTTTAGGCAGTACGGAGCCGTTTGAGACTCAGTCTGGGTTTCACGACTTCTGACTGAAACACGGACATTTGAAGTCTGTAAGACATTCAGGTGACATTTTTAGTCTTTTACACTGCAGTTTTACAGTGAATCACACTGTAAGTGCTTCAATTCAAGCCTGTGATATTAATGATGGAGCTGTTTAGGCTGTTGGCTCTTTTAGCCTGTTAGCTAGCTGACATGCCTGGTTCCAGTTAAGAGGATAAGTATCCAGTGCCTCAGTATAGTGTATAGAGTATAGTGTATAGGGTATAGAATATAGTGAATAGTGTAACAAGTGTAATGTGCATAATGTAAAGAAAATAGTGTATATAATATAGTGAAAAGAGCATAGGGTATAGTGTGTAGGGTATAGTGTATAGTGTGTAGGGTATAGTGTATAGTGTATAGTGTATAGGGTATAGTGTGTAGGGTATAGTGTATAGCGTGTAGGGTATAGTGTATAGTGTGTAGGGTATAGTGTGTAGGGTATATGGTATAGTGTATAGTGTGTAGGGTATATGGTATAGGGTATAGTGTGTAGGGTATATGGTATAGTGTGTAGGGCATAGGGTATAGTGTATAGTGTGTAGTGTATAGTGTGTAGGGTATATGGTATAGGGTATAGTGTGTAGGGTATATGGTATAGTGTATAGTGTATAGGGTATATGGTATAGGGTATAGTGTGTAGGGTATATGGTATAGTGTATAGTGTATAGGGTATATGGTATAGGGTATAGTGTGTAGGGTATATGGTATAGTGTATAGTGTATAGGGTATATGGTATAGGGTATAGTGTGTAGGGTATAGTGTGTAGGGTATATGGTATAGGGTATAGTGTATAGGGTATATGGTATAGTGTATAGTGTGTAGTGTATAGTGTGTAGGGTATATGGTATAGGGTATAGTGTGTAGGGTATATGGTATAGTGTATAGTGTATAGGGTATATGGTATAGTGTATAGTGTGTAGTGTATAGTGTGTAGGGTATATGGTATAGGGTATAGTGTGTAGGGTATATGGTATAGGGTATAGTGTGTAGGGTATATGGTATAGTGTGTAGGGCATAAGGTATAGTGTATAGTGTGTAGTGTATAGTGTGTAGGGTATATGGTATAGGGTATAGTGTGTAGGGTATATGGTATAGGGTATAGTGTGTAGGATATAGGATATAGTGTGTAGGGCATAGGGTATAGTGTATAGTGTGTAGGGTATAGTGTGTAGGGTATATATGAAGACTGTAGTGTGCAGAGTTTCGCGTACAGTGCTCGAATTGAGTCACGCGGCGGCTTGTTGTTTGTTTTGCACGCAGTTGTAGTTGAGCTCCGCGAGAGGGCATCGCTCGCGCTTCACTGTGCCAGCAGCAGCCGCTGCGCATGAAAGAGAGAGGGAGAGAGACAGAAAGAGAGAGAGAGAGAGAGAGAGAGAGTGAGTGTGTGTGTGTGTGTGTGTGTGTGTGTGTGTGTGTGTGTGAGTGAGAGTGTGTGGGGTCTCGCGCGCGCCTGTGCGGACAGGTGTGTTCCCGGCTACCTGTGGCCGCGCTCCAGCAGGAGGGGGAGGAGGCGCGCGGGGATTTTATTTCCTCTTCATAAGAAGAGCCGCGCCGTGAACGCGCCCGTTGGCCGCGCGCGCTCGCGCTGGTGACGCAGCGCGAGGAGAGGAGAGGAAGAGGAGCGAGACGATGGCGGCCGCTTGCGAGCGCGAGCGGGAGCCCGAGCCTCGCGCCCCGGAGAACGGGTTCGTGAGCGCTGAGCAGCACGCGCTCCTGTCGCGCGTGGACGGCTGCGTGCTGCACTTCCTGGGCGGATTCGGCACGTACCAGAAGCGGCTCGTGGCGCTCACGTGGATCCCCGCGCTCTTCATCGGATTCAGCCACTTCTCGGACTATTTCCTCCTCGCGCTGCCCAAGACCACGTGCGTGGAAGCGGCGGGGAACGGCACGCTCAACTGGACGCTGCCGCTGCCGCCGCCGCCGCCCTGCGCGCTGCCGCAGGACTTCAACGGGACCGGTCTGCCGGCCAACGGCTCTGCGCTCGAGCCCGAGAACGCGTGCACGCGCTGGACCTCCGAGCTGCAGACTGGCCTCGTGCAGAATGTCGTCACCAAGGTAAGAGAGTGGGCTCGAGCTCGGTTTCACACACATTCACACATACAGGTTGGGAGCGCGAGCCGCAAACCGCTGCAGAATCATCGCATTGCTGAGCGTGAGGAATGTGAGTCATCTGCAGCGCGAGCAGCTGACGAGGCGCGAGCTTCCCCCAGGGCCGGTGGGGGGGGGTTCGGTTAGAGTTGAGGAATGTACAGGGTGTCTCAGCGCGAGACACTGAGACTCTTATACAGACATGATGATGGTGATGAAGATGATGAGGACGGCACTGATGAGGAGTGTGGTCATGTGATGGCGATGGAGGTGATGATGGTGATAAAGACGGTGATACTGAAGGTGGTGATTGTGATGGAGGTGATGGTGGTGATACTGAAGGTGGTGATTGTGATGGAGGTAATGATGGTGATAAAGACGGTGGTGATACTGAAGGTGATGATATTGATGGAGGTAATGATGGTGATAAAGACGGTGATACTGAAGGTGGTGATTGTGACGGAGGTAATGATGGTGATAAAGACGGTGGTGATACTGAAGGTGATGATATTGATGGAGGTAATGATGGTGATAAAGACGGTGATACTGAAGGTGGTGATTGTGACGGAGGTAATGATGGTGATAAAGACGGTGGTGATACTGAAGGTGATGATATTGATGGAGGTAATGATGGTGATAAAGACGGTGGTGATACTGAAGGTGATGATATTGACGGAGGTAATGATGGTGATAAAGACGGTGATACTGAAGGTGGTGATTGTGATGGAGGTAATGATGGTGATAAAGACGGTGGTGATACTGAAGGTGATGATATTGATGGAGATAATGATGGTGATAAAGATGGTGATACTGAAGGTGGTGATTGTGATGGAGGTAATGATGGTGATAAAGACGGTGGTGATACTGAAGGTGATGATATTGATGGAGGTAATGATGGTGATAAAGACGGTCTATACTGAAGGTGGTGATTGTGACGGAGGTAATGATGGTGATAAAGACGGTGGTGATACTGAAGGTGATGATATTGATGGAGGTAATGATGGTGATAAAGACGGCGGATATTGATGGTGATTATGGTAATGATGATGATAATAATGGTAATGATGGTGATGATACTGATGGTGAGTATGGTAATGATGGAGGTGATGGTGATGAAGGTGATGATAGTGATGAGCTTCCTAATACAGTGAAAAATTAAATGTGGCCATGGAACGATGGAGATGATGATGGTGATGATGATGTATTGATGTGAAAAGCTCCCTAAAGAAGTGAAAGGTCGCAGTGGACCAGGTTAGGTGTGCAGCTGTGTCGATGTATCCCTGTATAAAGTGACCCACCTTTGCGTCCAGGTGTTTTAGACCAGGTGGAGACTGAAGCACACAGGACAGCGTGTCCTCCGGGAGCTGGAGGTGGAGGAGCAGGATGTTTACCTCTCACTGACGCACTGTGTACACGCTGACTCAGACGCTCTGCCTGTCCTGCAGGGCTTTCCTGCGTTCAGCTGGGCGTCTGGTGGTTTGGTGGTTGGTCAGAGGAACCTGATGTTGATCAGCTGAGCTGTGGGTTCTGCTGACATGCGGAATATTTTCAGGAAGCTGTAAATCTCAGACTTCCGGGATCCTTCATCTAAACTGTGGATGTACAGAGTTACATGACTGTATACAGTATAACACTGTAATATATCCAGATACGCTGCTCCTAAACGGACTGAGCCGAGCAGTAAAGGGGGTTGTTTAGGGGGATTAAAGCCGGAGGTCAGTGTTCCTGTAGGCAGGAGTAAAATATTCAGATTGCTGCATAAACTACCAGCCACTTCATTAAGTCCACCTCCTTTTTTCTCCACTCACTGTCCACTTCATCAGCTCCACTGACCATATAGTTTCACTCTGTAGTTCTACAGTTACAGACTGTAGTCCATCTGTTTCTCTGCATACTTTGTTACCCTGTTCTTCAGTGGTCAGGACCCCCATGGACCCTCACAGAGCAGGTGTTATTTGGGTGGTGGATCATTCTCAGCACTGCAGTAACACTGACGTGGTGGTGGTGTGTCGTGCTGGTATGAGTGGATCAGACACAGCAGTACTGCTGCAGTTTTTAAACACTGTGTCCACTCACTGTCCACTCTATTAGACACTCCTACCTTGTCAGTCCACTTTGTAGATGTAAAATCAGAGACGATAGCTCAGTTTGTGTTATTCAGTTGAAATAATACCTGCTCTGTGGGGGTCCCGTGGGGGTCCTGAGCACTGAAAAACAGAGTGAAAGGGGGCTAACGTTATCAGAGATCATGTCTTTTCCTGTGAGGCTAGTTTTGGCTTGTATCTGGATAGTATTGTCCGGTTAAGTGATTGTCCACTGTGAGCAGAACGATGAGTCAGCAACAATTCAGCCCTGACTGACTCTGCCACAAAGTGAGCCTGTAGCTCCAGCACTGTGCCCTCGCTCTGCTGTAAAGTGCTCCAGTGTTCTCCCCAGTGAAGTAAAGCCAGTTCGGCTGTTGTTTACTCAGATCTGACCGTCATTATAACGAGGTGTCAGTAATCACAGCCGGGCAGTTTGAGGGTTTGAGTGTATTATGAGTTTATAAAGCGTTTCATTAAGACTGAGCCTGTTTACTCGTCTCCTCTCTGACCAAATCCACATCTACATTCATGACACTCTGCTCGTATCTGTACTCTGTGAGTAAAGTGATCTACCGGTTCCTCAGTTCCACTTCAGTCGTTAACATTTAGTTCCTAATTTTGACTGAATAAAGGTTTAACTTCATCCTGCTGTGCTGCTTCAGCTCCTGCTCTGCTCTGCTGTTCATCCTCTCACTGTGGAGCTTTAGCACTTCATTTTAGACCAAATGATCCAGAAAGAGAAGAACAGAGTTGTACAAACTTCACTTCCTGTAACGGCGATTGGTGCTGGACGTTCTAACTTAACTTATTTACTGAGAAACAAGACTTAAATCCAGTGATTTTCCAAAATCTGTGCATTTTTCAATGTAATCACAGCGATTCAGAGTGGTTTGGTGTGAAATGGTTCAGATGTCTTTACAGTGGTGATGATAGGAACCAGGGGTCGCCATGACTACAACACAGATATAGACATTTTATTTACTATCCAGAACCACCAGTGAACCTACACGAGTCTTCTGAGTTTATATGGAATGTTGATGATGGAAAATAGTGGAAAATCTGAAATAATAAGTTTTCTTTGGGGACTATTTTGCCTCACAGCGCCCTGCATGTATCCCTCCACCATGAATGGAGTTTAAGTTCTCAAAACTATCATAAAACAGTGTCTCAGTCATCAGGCAGTGAATTCATAACCATTTTATGTAGGAACTTTCTGTGAGGGAGCTTTTAGAGGTGGACGTCTGGTTCCTATCACCACCACTGTGAACAGTTCTGACTCTGTAAGTTTATCTAGAACAGAGCGTTTCACACCAAACCACTCTGAATGACTCTGATTACACCTAACCCGCTTAATTTTACTGTTATTACATAAATTATTTATTGTAATTATTGGATTTCATACTGAACTGTGAATGTCCCTCTGATTGCTGGTCATTTGCTGTAAACACTGCGGAACCGGGCAGCGTTTTTCTGGTAATTATTGATATGGATGTAGAACCGTGCAGCTCTGCTGTTTGTACCTACACCTACAGTGAAGCCGCAGGTATTAAACTCAGTAAAGCGGCTGTGCTGATTGGATAATTGGTGATTAAGGCTGACGCTGTAGTGTTACAGCAGCTCATTTTCATGTAGAACACAACTACACTGTCAGCAGAAGAGCCTGGTTCATATTTACATATGAGGTTCTAAATGAAGTGTGTTATTCACTTTTTTGTTCTTTCGTTATTCACAATTGTTCCAGCGCCACATTCAGAGTCAGTGTGTTGTGTGTCTGTATGTTGGTTTAGAAGTGCTGACCCTAATCTGACCCTAAACCTCTTTAACGAGGCCGGCCTGTAATCAGCTGTGAACCAGTTCATTTAGAGTGAGTTATTCATTCAGCCTAATGAGAAACTGTAGAACAGACTCAGTTTATATCACAATACCTACATTTAGAGTCAGTTATTCACTCAGCCTAATGAGAAACTGTAGAACAGACTCAGTTTATATCACAATACCTACATTTAGAGTCAGTTATTCATTCAGCCTAATGAGAAACGGTAGAACAGCCTCAGTTTATATCACAATACCTACATTTAGAGTCGGTTATTCATTCAGCCTAATGAGAAACTGTAGAACAGACTCAGTTTATATCACAATACCTACATTTAGAGTCGGTTATTCATTCAGCCTAATGAGAAACTGTAGAACAGACTCAGTTTATATCACAATACCTACATTTAGAGTCGGTTATTCATTCAGCCTAATGAGAAACGGTAGAACAGGCTCAGTTTATATCACAATACCTACATTTAGAGTCGGTTATTCATTCAGCCTAATGAGAAACGGTAGAACAGCCTCAGTTTATATCACAATACCTACATTTAGAGTCGGTTATTCATTCAGCCTAATGAGAAACGGTAGAACAGCCTCAGTTTATATCACAATACCTACATTTAGAGTCGGTTATTCATTCAGCCTAATGAGAAACGGTAGAACAGCCTCAGTTTATATCACAATACCTACATTTAGAGTCGGTTATTCATTCAGCCTAATGAGAAACTGTAGAACAGCCTCAGTTTATATCACAGTGGTGGATGTTCAGGCAGGTTGTTCTGCTGATTGGTCAACTGTCCATGCAAATCCTCACTGTCAGTCAATAAAGAATTACTCACAGGCAAATAAGTGAGACAGTAGCAGCTGTGTAATTTCGGACAGTATCTTTCTTAAACTGCCGCTCTGTAATGGTACTGAATGCAGTCCAGCAGCGATGTTGACCGCCCCAAAATGGCGGCGCCGTTGACATGCCTGTCTGGACCCGACGCGGCGTCTAGGTATGTATGTGTATCTATGAGCAACACGATCTCCAGCTATAAACGTGAGTTGCGTTCAGATTCAGGAAGCGGTGACGATCATTCGTGGTAAACTTGTTCTCTACGAACAGTTCAATTTGAGCGATTTTGTGTAATCATTCCATTTGAGTGGTCACCCAGCTGCCCTGTATGTTTGTATGTATGTACCTCCTGAAACTGCTAGTGGTGGCAAATGATGGCGGAGAACTCAAGGCAAGCGGAAAACTGCACAGCACGGAAACAGCACGGAAGGCAACCTTCATTTTCGGAGAAAAGCATGAGGCGCTCCCTCACTGTTGAGGATTCTGTTCTTAGCTCTCCAGTGAGAGGTAAGGTCAAAAGGTTCCGAATGAGCGGGAGAAACACACGTAATGACGTCACCAACTACTCGTCTATTAAATTAGCTGCCAACTAATTTGGTCGTCGATTTTAATAATAATAATAATAATAATAATAATAATAATAAAAGTTACATTTATATAGCGCCTTTCACAAACCCAAGGTCGTTTACATAGCATGGGCAAACAAACAAACCAAAGAAAAGTTAGTTTTAGTCGACTAAGCTGATTAATCATTGCACCTCTACTTTGATGAAGTGAGATGTGAGAGTTGAGGCTTAGGCTTAAACTGGGCCTGGGAAACTCATCTGTGCCTGACAGTTAACCAGGTTACTACGGTAACAGCCTCCAGTGACCATAAACCAAATTACTGTGAGTTTAAAACCTGTTCATTAACTGATTTATTCATGTAAACCACAGCAGGACAGGATCCTCACATAGGATCATACCTGACAAGACCTGAGAGAGTCAGGACTCACTCATCACACAGAGTCAGGACTCTCATCAGACAGAGTCAGGACTTACTCCTCACACAGAGTCAGGACTCACTCATCACACAGAGTCAGGACTCTCATCACACAGAGTCAGGACTCACTCATCACACAGAGTCAGGACTCTCATCAGACAGAGTCAGGACTCACTCCTCAGACAGTCAGGACTCACTCATCACACAGAGTCAGGACTCACTCATCACACAGAGTCAGGACTCACTCATCAGACAGAGTCAGGACTCACTCATCACACAGAGTCAGGACTCTCATCACACAGAGTCAGGACTCACTCATCCCACAGAGTCAGGACTCTCATCAGACAGAGTCAGGACTTACTCATTATACAGAGTCAGGACTCACTCATCACACAGAGTCAGGACTGACTCCTCACACAGAGTCAGGACTCACTCATCACACAGAGTCAGGACTCACTCATCACACAGAGTCAGGACTGACTCCTCACACAGAGTCAGGACTGACTCATCACAGAGTCAGGACACGGTCAGTCTGAGTGGAACCCCAGCGTTTACTGAGCTGCACTTTTACTGTTTTCTCTAATTTAACCATATTAAGCTTCTGCTGTCGCTCTGTTTGCTCCCCCGTGAGTCTTAGGGACCGTCTCAAAAATACCCAACAAAAAGGACCAAAGATTAAAATACCCCCCAGAGCTGGGGTGACTCTTTACTGCAGCCATTTTCCTCATGCTTATTCAAATGAGAGGACTCTGTTACCAACACAGGCCTAGCAGTAAACATGCTTAGCCGTCAGTTTCTATGTTTACGTTAGTTGTTCATGTTTATCTGTGATTGGTCCAGATCCAGCCTGTGAGCAGCTCTGTTTGGCTGTTAAGTCCACTGACTGTTGAAAAGTCAGTCCGATGATGATGTTCAGCTGATAATACCTGAGGCAGGTCTGCCTGGTTAAACCTGAACACTGATTCTGCTGTACAGTAGAAACCCTGAGCTGCTCCTCCTGCTGAGCTGCGTCTCTAACAGCCCTGTTCATTCACGCTAATTTAACGGAGATCTGGTCGACCGTGAAGGATGGAAAACAAATGATCGCA